TCAGAAACTCCCAAATGTAGGGCACAGCCAACCTTAAGAAAGCACCCAGGTGTCTGTTATGCCGGACTCCTCGGGCAATTTGCAAACCCATAGCCTGGAACCCTACACCCAACTCGCTACTGTAACTCCTTCTGTTGCGCACAGGCCGTCTACATGCAGGCTCGCAGCTGCTCCATGGAGTCTCGAACTATTTATGGGAGCTGGACATCGTATGATCCAGCTCCACATGAAGCGATTCGGCGTAAGGGTTTTGGTCTGCAATGGGTTCCCTGTGGCAAGATCTGCATGCAAGACAGGGCCCGTGAGATAGAGCAATTCCCAGCTTCGCTGTTCTGTAGCACGGTGTTTTCTTGGTGGGGCTCGTCGCAGTAGTACCGCAGTAGTTTCCGCCCGCTAGGCATCCCCCCTGAGGCCAAAGAGGCCCTAGTAGCCGTCATAGTCGTCGTCGTAGTAGTAGGAGGAGGAGAGGTGCCAGCACTTGCACTTCTAGCGCTACCAGCGCTGCACTCTTAGGCTTCCCCAAGCCTGCAGACCGCCCTGATCCTGAACCTCCGGCCCGATGCCCAAAGCTTCAAAGGGTCCTCAACACCCGGCCCTTCAGACTCCCAAAACCCTTGGCCCGGCTTGTGATGTAAATGTAGACGCCTGCGTAACTCGTGACACTGTATATAGAACAACACGGCCATGCTGTAATACGGTTGATGATATAAATCCTGCACTACCTTAACGAACCTAAACTATGGGAATTACGGTATATTCCTTATTATGGGCAAGGCAGGGTTTATATCATCAGCCGTATGTGCCAGGGCGCTCTTCGAGTTATATCAAGACCCTCAAATCCTCATCGAAGGAGACCTTTTCAAACCCACCTGATTGGTTGTTAAAATTATGGTCCCTTTTTGGGCTAATAGTAGGTGCCGTATTATAATAAGGACCCAAAAGGGACCCTAATTTTGACAACCCCCCAGCTATCCATAGCTGCTCTCGGAGGTGGGATCTGGAAAGCAGTACGGCACCGTCAAAGTCTTCAACCCAGAGAAAGGCTGGATCCGCTTTGGGGTCCTGGGGCTTTAGCGGCTTTAAGACTCTAAGAGGGTTTCCGGGTAGACAGTTTCGGGGTAGACTTCGGGCAGATCATAGTATGACTCCCTTGTTACCTCATTGGGATACTGTTCGTCAGGTTACAGATAAGGATGTATAGACCTTATAACACAAATCTCATTACTTAGAGGCGTGTAAAGGGTGTGTAGTGCAGCAGCTTCGTTTCTGTTTCAAGGGCTTCGGGCTTTGTGCTTAGACGAGTACCTTTCCCCGCCCCCCCCATACTTGTGCTACCGATATAACACGTCCTTCCGGCAGTGCATACTATACTAAGTGTATTATACACTCAAGTCTCAAGCATCAATTACAGTCGTGTATATCAGAAGTGTAGCAGCATCAAAAGGCTTAAGTAAAGTTGGTCCAACTTTGAATTACCTTATGCCTCCACACATCAATTATTCCAGCCCTCTCAGCCCTAAACCCGAAAACCTGATTACAAGGAATAGTCAGGGCCACGAGATTTCGGTAGCAACAGTATCCCCATGGGGCCCCTAGAGAGCTACATGCTGCAACAGTTTTGAAAACTTTCTTCCATGCAGCAATGCCCTGAAGCATACCCTTATCAGATCTTGTCAGAGATATTTGTAAGGCCGATATCTGCGATTCTGGAATCACCTTCTTCCTCCAAACTCAAACGACCCGCAGTGAGCCTATCTGGCAGGCTTCGGCTTCGTTTCATGCTCGTCGGTACAGGCCAGGAAGGATGTGTGTGGAGAGGGGAAAGTTGTTTACGCGTTGTTTTTGATTTTGCAGCATTGTTGTAAATCGTGCTCTTTCAGAGTTTACGGTGTTTTGCCACAGAATGGCAGAGTAGGTGGGTGGCTGTGGGTGGGGGGGGGGGGAGAAATAGTAGCCAGATAGCAGTGACTCAGTGGCGGAAACAAAGTTTAAATCGCTGGAAGCCTGCAGCTGCATAGTACACATTTCAATGAACCCGTATCCCCAACCATACAGCCCCACACCCTACAGTAGAAGCCCAAAAGTTGGAAACCCAATAGCCTCAATCCTTAAGAGCAATTTATGGGGAATCCCAGCACTATTTGGCCTTAATCCGGTTTCCAACTTTATGGGATTCACTGTAAACTCAACCGAACCCTGACACCCCAAACCCGAAAACCCGCTTCAACCCTGGGCTTGCAAGAGCTTTTAGGCTTTAGGGGTTTGGGGTTTAGGGGTTCAGTGGTTTAGGGGTTTAAGGGTGTAGGGGTTTAAGGGTGTAGGGGTTTAGGGGTGTAGGGGTTTTAGGGTTTAGGGGTTTAGGGTTTCGGATTTTGCAAAGCTGAGGGCGACGTGTTCTTCCTCCGGTCAGAGCTGCCTCTGGAGCTTCAGGCTCTGGTCGAGGCCCTTCTGTCTTCGTAGGATGTCGCGGGGCTTAGAGGTCTTTTAGGGTTTAGGGCTTTAGGGTTTAAGGGTTTTAGTGTTTAGGGTTTTAGGGTTTAAGGTTTTAGGGTTAAAGGGTTTTAGGGTTTAGGTTTTTTTTCGAGGCCCTTCTGCCTTCGTAGGGTGTCTTCGTGTTTAAGGTTTTAGGGCTTAGGGTTTAAGGCTTGAGTTGGGCTTGTGGGGTTTAGGGCTTCGGGGCTTTAGGGGGTTGAGGGTTTGGGCTCAGGGTTCAGGGTGTCGCAGAACGGAGGTTTTAGCGCTGCCATGACGGTCCAAGGCCCCTTTTGGTTCTCCCCTTTTCAGGTTTAGATTCCAAGGGTAAAAGGAGGGACCCTTAATAAGGACACCTAGGTATATACCCTTAATATAGCTATTATATACCCATTATATAGCCCATTATAGGCTAAGGGTCCCCATTAAGGGTCCCTCCTTTTCCCCTTTGACAGAATTTTGGGGGAGGATTAGGCTTGGGGGCTGAGGGCTGAGGTCTTTAGGGCATGGGGTGTTGGGTTCTTCTGTTGTTATCAGCAGCGTTGGGGTCGATTACCGTCGGGGATTTTAAGGGTCTAGCAGCATTAGGGCTGCTTGCAGTTCCAATGATTACAATGGTTGGTCTTCTTGGCAGGTTGCCACTGCATCTGTTTTCAGGCTTGTCGTACTTGTATAATATATATATATATATATATATATATGTGTGTGTGTGTATTATGTATTATGTTCATATACACACACGTACTATTGTACGCATGTGTTCTATACACATACATGTACGCAAATATACAGTATACACATACGCACTGTTCCTACAACATACATGCATACATACATACATACATGCACACACACACACACAGAGACACACTGTTTCTAGCATGCGTGTGCATATGTATATATATATATATACACGAATGTTATTGGAGTGTTATTGGTGGTTGCGCCTGCTTGAAAGCATGAACCTTCAAGAAAAGCCGACCAACCACAAAGCTTCAGCAGACCGAACAAGAAGGAAACTCAAACGACCCAACACCCACAGCTCTGAATCTTGTATTGAGGGGCCCTAACAATAAACCTGGTAGCCGAAGAAGGAACTACAATGCAGACTTCAGTCAAACCCAAACCTACACTTCCATTCAGGAAAGACGGATTGTCGGTCAGCCGGTGGCCTTTGACTTGAGCCTCGGGAAAGACACCCGACACCGGGCGGGGATGCCAAGCCATTTGCCTTTAATGTTTGGTACTGTAAGGTCCGAGGGTTCCCTAACGGTTCCCTACAAGGTTTGGACGGTTCTGCAAGGTTCTAGGAGGTACACGGTACAAACAGGATATCCATAAAGCTATTCTAAGGTTTGCGGTTTAGCATTTGCTTGGTACCCTTGGGTTTCTTGAGAAGGGCCACTATACGGGTCTGTGGGGGATTCTATAAATGGGAATCTGAGCTGAGGTTTGAATTATGATTTTAGGGTTTGGTGGGGGGGTTGCAACTAGTCTCCGTTTTGTGATGAAGAGCCTGAAGCCAGCATACCATAAAGTTCGCACGCCACCAAGGAGCCTCAACTCTTTCATTTTCCTACTCGACTCTGGACCCACAAGAGAAAGTAATGAGGCCAAGGCCCCAAAGCTCGATGACCCCAATACCTAAGACTGTCTGGTTCTTATCGGGGAATGGGGGAATGGGTCATGGGGACTATTTTTGGGGATGATATAGGGACGAGTTGCTATAGTTATGGTAGGGATCGATTCCCCCATTTCCTACTAAGAACCAGAAGAATGGGCAGGGAGTCGTGGCACCTTTTTCTGGATGACCTCCTCACATGCTGAGTGTGCTATGGTAGCAAGGTCTCAATCCCCAAACCCTAAACCCCTAAATCCTAACCCCCCCACCCTAAACCCCTCAACCCGGAACCCCAAGAAAAACAGAACAAGGCCCTACACCCTAAACCCTACGTCTGCGAAGGCTCAGAGCTGAAACTTCGGGTCTTTACTCGCATTTTGATGTGTGCATAAGGTCATAAGCGCCCGAACTTCCCGAAGGCTCTTAGGCCGAAAAGAGCTTAAAGGGCTTAGGTTTTGGAGGTTTAGGGATTTGAGGCTCGGTGTTTCGGACTTTGCTGTTCTGGTGCGCGGAGACACACACACACACACACGCAGCTGCATCTCATCTTGAGTTCCCTGTCTTTGGACAGCACGGAATCCCAAGTTGCACATATTCTACACCGCAGTCATTCTGGTTGTACTCCTGGTTTTCCCGAACAGAAGATCCATGCGGCATGGATCTTCGAACCTTCCATTGCAGAGCTAGCTGGTTCCGACCAGGCGACGAATATGCAGGCGTGCACGATGGAGGCCTTCACAATGACGTTTCTTTGGGAAGCAGCGTGCCGCGGGTCATTGGGACTTGCTTATTCGAAGTATCGTTACCGGGGTTTCCGACAGTTTGAGCTTGCAGGCCTCAAACTCAAGCTGAAAGCCCTGCACCTGAACACCGCCCAAGCTGCCCCGAAAAGAAAGCCCTGCGACAGATGGTGCACGCTGCCATGCAGATGGCGCCACAGCCGCAGGCAGGACGCAAAGGTTTCACGGGTTCCTGCCGAAGTGCTTGCCGGGATGTACCGTTCGGAAGAAGCTTGAGCGAATAAGAACCCGACGCCGTTTAAGGAGGGCCCTCGACATCCGATTCTCTAGCAAAGTGGGATTTAGGTTCATGTGTTTCCTTCTTGTGATAGCTTCCATTTCTAGAACTGGCGCAGAGTATACATACTTTGTCAATATAGTTTCTGGAAGCAAAAAATAGCCAGAACCCAAACACACGCGTGTTTGCCAGGGAACTGCTGTGGAGGGCACCATTAAGTCCTACAGCGACCGGCACGGCTACGGGCAAGCGGCCGAGAAACTTTGAAGGCTTGAAGGATCAGCACTGCCCCTGAATTATCATGGTTCGCATGACAGCGACGATTTACACACAGTGTAAGCGCCTGCAACTACCGTACTGCGAGAACCCGTATTCTCCACTACTCTGAGCCCAACACCCTCATCATTTTGGGTAAATATCCGAAACTTAGACCCTAAACTTTCCTAAACCCTATCAGCCCTGTTTTAAGCTGTCCCACCAGACTCCTACGAGCGTACTCAAAAGCCCTTCCGAGAATGGCCCAGACCCATGTCCTCACACAACCCTGAGAACCTCGTAGCCTCCAAACAAAAACCAACAAAGCCCTAAACCTGAGGTTGCTAGTCCTGTATAAAGCCTAAGCCCTGAACCAAAAACCCCAAACCCCATAGGCCCTAGACCCTAAAAGGTCCCTAAACCCCTAAGCCTCCACCCCGTAACCCTACACCCTAAACCCCTGAATCTTAAACCCCCAAACCCTAAGCCCTAAACCGTTACTACCGAGGTTTATTTCCTCGCCTTCTTTGAACAGAGACGCTCAGTTCAAGACCGGAGAGCTAACAGCAGACCTGCAGGTTCGCCTCACGGAGCAACTGCTAAGGGTTCGGTTTAGGGTTTAGGGTTTTGCTATAAAAAGGTGACCCTATGCGGTGCATACTATGAACGGTACTCTACAGCTTTCGGCAGCGGCTCTGCGAAAATCCTATCCTTAAGGCTCAAAATGACCCAAAAGCCTTTTGTAATATGGTCTTTAGGCCCAAGCCAAAATAAGAGTCCTTAGAGCCTTAGGTTATGGATTGTAAGGTTTAGGGTTTCGGATCTCGCTTTGGGGTTTAGGAGTGTCGGGTTGATGGTTGGTTGACGGACGTGCATTCAGCGTTTAGGGTTCTGTCTTTATGTCTTCCAAGCTGTATAAAGGGGTCTTGCGAGCTATTTCCTGTGCGGTTACCAGAGTTTTGTGGGATGAGAGGCTAAACAGTCGCCTTAGCTGGTTGACCGTTGATCATGGACTCAGATTAAGGGCCTAAGGACTAGGGTGATCATGGTGTCAGCGTGTCAGCGTTGACGACTTCGGGCATAAGGTTGAAGATCTGGAGCTAAGTGGTACGAGCCAGTAAGAGCTTGCTTTGAATGAGGTTGGAGGCAAGGGGGGGGAGCAGCAGCGGCTGGTTTTTTTTTTTGCAGGGCCTCCCTTCGCTCGGACGGTCAACTGTGAGGTTTAGGGTTTAGGGTTAGGGAATGTTTTATCCTTTGTTTGTAGCTCTTCCCAAGCACAAGGTTAAGGCGGTTAAGGCCACCCTGGTCTGGTTGGTCACGGGGACAACTCTTGTGAACTCCATTGGCCCCTCCACCGTTTCCACCATAATCCTGCACATCATCCCTAAACCCCAAAGCCCCAAACCAGAAACCCCTAAGCATGTTTGGCAATCTCTTGACTGTTGTCGTCATCCTCGTAGGCGTCCAGCCCTCTAGCTGCCACTGCTCCGATGATGTCAACTTTAAATTGACACTCCCAGCGGTCATCAGGATCATATAAGGGTTTAGGGTTTAGGGCTGGGAGCACCATACAGTGCCTTCCTGATGAGCAACTTGAAACTTACACCCTGAACCGTAAAATCCTGAACCTCAAAGCTGCAAGCCCCCGAATTCTAAACCCGTAAATATGGGTATGGACCCCTGCAGCACCCTGAAGGGGCGCAAAGAACGCAGGGTTGCAGGGGGTTCCGGGTTTAGGTGTATGTAGGTAGTACCCTCATTCCCTTTTTGTAGTCCTAGATCCCTTATAAAGTCACCCAAGACCAAATACCAAGAAGGGAGCCCTTTTTAATCCCAGGTACTGGGCATCCTAGGTTCAGGAATCCTCTGCAGGCCATCGGGACCAACCTCATCGGCAGAACTATTTCCTGCCATGCGATAGGCCCAGTTTTGTTTAGTTTGACCGGGAGGGGCTCTCTGTAAGACTCTGTTTGCATATCATCAGAATAGGCATGTATGTATGCATATACATATATTAATAGTATTCAAGCAGGTTAGATAGATAGATAGATAGACGCATGGGCATGTGTGTATGTATGTATCTGTAGTTGTTATACATAAACATATGCATGGAGAGAGAGAGAGAGAGAGAGAGAGAGAGAGAGAGAGAGAGAGAGAGAGAGAGAGGAGAGTGACCGGGATCGAGACGGAGGGAATGCGAGAACGACAGCGACAGGGAAAGGTAGGAAGGGAGTGAGGGAGCGAGGCTTGCTCTGCCATTGCATGCAAAAACCAGACCCTAAACCCTAAAACCTAAAGCGAGAATTGCTAGGCAGTTCCTGACTTGCTCTGCATCTCGGTTTTTTCGGGCCGTCGGGGTAACACGTCCCAAAACTTTGCTGGGACCTACCAGGATTGTAGGGTTGGGTTTAGAGTTTAGGGCTTGGGGGTTTATTGTTTAGGGCTTGAGTTTTATGGGTTTGTATAACAAGAAGAAGAAGGTTACCATGATTTGGTACCGCAATTCGGTTTCCAAGCTGATTGATTGTACGGGTTGCCATACGATTTCGGGCCAAGGGTTGAAGTTTTAGGCTCTGTTTTTGGCATTGGGTTTAGGGCTTAGGGCTGTCGCATCCGAAAGCTCTTATCAGAATCGAGAGAAAGAAAGACCATGTACACATCCCCCTCCGACCCAAACACACCCACTGAGCGCGAACTCCACCCTGACCCTTGCGACCAAAATACCCTAAACCCTGAACCCTGAACCCTAAAAAAAAATAAAATAAAATAAAACCCTGAACCCCAGACATCAAGCGCGAACTCCGCCCTGAACCTTGAGACCAAAATCCCAAACTCCGTAATTAACCCAGTCTTAGGTCCATGCCTTGTCCGACGGCAAGCTGAAGGCGATCCAAAGCTAAGACTAGGGCCTACTATACGGGCCTTAACGGTTACCTATACTATGTTTTTTTTTTTTTTCTTGGGGGGGGTCCTTGTTATGAGTACAGAATAATGGGCCCGAAAACCCTAGTCTACTTATTAAGGACTCTTTTTGAGGGCCCAGGTCTTCATTTTCGGGCGCTCTGGATCTGTCGGTTCTTCAGTTGTGTGTTCGCATGTCTCTGTCTCTGTGCATGTCTGTGCACTCTGGTTTTGGGTTTGGGGGGGGGGGGGGGTTGTGGCTTTTATGATTCCCTGTGATGCTAGGTGGGATATCGGGGGCGGAGGAAGGGAGGCAGAGGTTAAGGGTTCCTGATTCCCCTCGGATTTGCGATGGTACTGCTTCTGTATTTTGTACCAGATTGAACACCAGTTCCGGGGCTCGAAATCCTAATTAGACCTGAGCCCCCCATCTTGGCGCAAAGCCTTCCAACGTCCTGTGCAAGCCCACAAGACAGCAACTACAAGCGCTTCAGTGGGCCTAACACGCTGTCAAAACCTTACATGTGAGACAATGTAAGATCTCGACAGACCCTGGAAGACCCTTTGAACAAATCCTCCTGTGGCAGCGAAGGCCACTCATGTAAGCCTGAAGACGGGAATGGGAATGAGCATGGGTCGGGCCCCCGGCCCCTCTTGTGGTTTTGGGGGTTCAAGTCTGGGGTCGACGTTTTTGGGGTTTAAGTCTGGTGTCGACGTTTGGGGTTTTGGGACTTGTGTTGTATACCAGATAGTGTTAAGAGCTTCGGTGGCACATATCAGAGAGTAGCAATTTTTTTCGGAGATTTCATGAACCCAGTTCTGTACTGTAGTAATCGGATCGAGTATCTTAGCTGCTACAGCCTAAGTGACTCACCGTGACAAGATTTAGTCTTTGATTTGCTGTGTTGTCCATAGCTGCAATACCTAGTGTGTCATTCTGCTGGTGTATTGCAGCCCTAAGCTCTATACTTTGGCCCCAAACCCTGAACCTAAAAAGCCCAAAACTTTAAACCCTAGACCCTAGACCCTGAACCCTAACCCTAACCCCTAAACCCTAAACCCTAAAAACCCTAAACCCTAAGCCGAAGCCCCCTAAACCCTAACTTACCTCAAAACCCCTACACCCTAAATCGTAAACCTACAAACAATGCACCCTGAACCGTGAACCCCTGCGGATCAAAATAGCCCAAAAGCCTTATGTAGTATGGTCTTTGGGCCCAGAAGCCTTATTACATGAGTCCTTAGATCCCTAGGGAACCGTAAAACTACCAACCCCTGCACCCTGAACCCTAAACCTTACACCCTAAATCCTACGCCCTGAACCCTAAACCCTGAACCCTAAACCCCTAAACCCTAAAGAAAAAAAATTAAACCCTAAAAAAAAGAAACCCTAAAAAAACAAACTAAACCCTAAACCCTGAAACCCTAAACCCTGAAACGTGAGGCTGCAGTGGCCAGGGGATCGAGCCTCGGATCTCTTGCTCCCGGTGTTCTCACAGGGTTTGGGGAACGGGGGTTTGGGGTTTAGGGCTTAGGGTTTAGGGAGTTTGGGGAAGTTTAGAGTTTAGGGTTTGGGGGTTTAGGGTTTGGGGTCAGGGGCTTAGGGTAGGAGAACCTGGAGAAAGAAACTGTTATTCCTGAGACCCCGGTAGTACCTTGTAGTTTTGGGATAGCGACGTTGAGCATGGGAAATGAAGAGGACGATGCATGAATGTCAGTAGTTTAGACAGACAACAACGGCGACAGCAACAACAAACACAACAACGACTACTACTTGTACTACTACTCCTGCTGCGACGAATACTGCGAATGCTGCCACTACTGCGACTACTACGACTACTACGACGACGACTTCTACTACTGCTTCTACTGCTGTTGCCGCTGGTGCCGTCATTGGCACTGTCAGCGGCACTGCCGCAGCCACTGCTACTGCCAGTATCACTGCTGCCACCACCACTACTGCTGCTGCTGCTGCTACTACTACTACTACTACTACTGCTACATACTGCTACTGCTACTGCTACTACTACTACTACTACCACTACTACTACTACTACTACTACTACTACTACTACTACTACTACTACTACTACTACTACTACTACTACTCCTCATTACTGCTACTGCTCCTGCCACTGCCCCTGCTCCTGCTACTACCACTGCTACTCCTACCACCACTACCACTACCAGTGAGTGTAGATCCGCAAACTCCGCACCCAGTTTCGACCTTGCCTCGGAGGAGATAAGAGGCAACAGCACAAGCGTTCAAACACGCTACAAAAAAACTGCTTATGAATCTTGCGGAGGGCTTGCAACACTCCAGGTGTGGCCAAACGCACAGAGGCTATGTGACCATATTTGACCCAGTTTCCCGCGCGGAGCCAAGTACGTGAGACACCGACACAGTTGCAACAACCTTGTGCAAGCGCTACTTCGCGATGCCCTTCACCTCTTTCCAGCCTAGCTGAAAGACGATTATGGCATCAAGTCTTGGTGTTGACTCGGTGTTGACCATGTGTGCTGTTCATACTGAGGTCAGTGACGGATAGGAGAGTGTGGCTCACTGCTCATATTGCTGCACCTATGCGTGCTATCGCGTAAATACTCACCAGTATGACTATTGAGATCTTAAGTTCCAGCTCCTGCCAACCCGATCGGGCCGAAGGTCTCGTAGCAATAGCTCGGCATTGTCATAGCACCCAAATCCAGCCCAAGGAAAGCTACTTCCTGAATCTTCCTGAACCCGGACACCCTGACGGGGCAGTCTAGGATCTTGCCAGCGTAGCCACCTTGAGACCTAAGGGCCCTTAGAAGTGGGAACTCTTGCAGACCACATGCCTGGGATCCTTCTGCATTGACGTTGGTTGGTCGTTAAACCACAGGTGTCAGCACGGAGCTCCGTAGACAGACATGATGGCACCAGAGATTCAGTCGTGGAACCCTGCAAGACACGTTGCCTCGTTATAGGATGGTAGCTGAACGAAGAATTCGCCAATCTGTGGGCGGCTGTCAGCCCTTTACTGTGAGTTTTGTGTGAAATTACTGCATCTCTCTAGAAGTAAGACCTACCTAGAGTCTCCATTGTACTTCCTTTTTTGGTTGACCAAAATCTCTTTACAGGATCCTAACCAGAAAACTGGCTAACCAAAAAAAAAGAACTACAACGGAGACTATAGGTGGTATCCGAAACCCCAGCCCCAAAGACAGACCAGAAACATGAAGCAAAAAACCTTACAAGCCCTCCGACCCCGGCGAGCCCTCGACCCCAAAACCCCCCAAAAAAGCCCCCAACTCCCCTTCACTTCCTAGACCCTCCATCTACCCTCCATTAGACCCTAAATGCCCCTTATTTGGGACCATATACCCCTATTTGAGGGTACAAGGAGGGTCCTGGTTCATAGGATTCCAGGAGATTTCCCCGAATTTCTCTCCCAGGGCTCGGTGTCATCTCCGCCCCTGGGGCCGGAGCCCAAAAGAGTTTGTAGGAAGGATTACGGCTTTCAGAAGGGTTTAGGAGTTCCTCCATGATTTTTTTCGGGTGTCCTAGGCTCAACTTTGGGATTTCTTTTGATTTTGGGGTTCAGGATGTTGGGTTTCCCCGGTGATTTCGGGTTTGGTTTCCTTTGTTTGCGTAGGATGTAGAGTGGTAAGTGTTCAGGGCATTCTTCAATCAAGATCCTGCAGTTGAGGTTTATTTTAGTGTTTCGGTTTACAGCCCATGGTGACCGGGTTTAGGTATGTGACATCCTACACCCTAGCGCGTCCACCTGAATTCGATAGAGCGGCACGCCGACATCCCTAAACCAGACCCTAAACCCTAAGCCCTAAACCCAATGGTCCTCACTTACGGGTCACCCCTGAAGGGAAGACTCATTCTAAACCCTAAACCCTAATTAAACCCTAAGCCTTAACCGCCCCTGAAGGGAAGACTCATTCATAGAGAGGGAGAGGTAACCCCACTCAGGGTTTAAACTTTAGGGTTTTAAAATTTAGGGTTTTAGGTTTTAGGGTTTTAGGGTTTTAGGGTTTGGATTTAGGGTTTTTAGGGTTAAGGGTTGTAGGGTTTCAGGGTTTAGGGTTTAGGGAGTTTAGGGCTGGTTCTCTAAAGTATGGTACCTTTGAGGTCATTTTAGTACTGGTGCCGTAGTATCTTGGGACCTTATTTTAGAAACTACCCGGCAGCTGCCTGAGCCACAGCTCTGGAGCAAACCCGCAGCTCAGGAATGCGAGCACATACCGTCTCGCTGCTTACTCTATCTTGTAGGTTGCTGCCCCAATGGGTGGTTGTCGAAGTTATGGTCCCTTTTGGGTTCTCATTACAATACGGCTCCTAATATTTAGGGTACCCCAAAAGGGGCCATAATTTTGGCAACTACCCCGATGTAGAAAAGGCGTAGTACGAAAGCCCTATCAAAACCATTACAGCGCCGTGTAGCACCATGGAGGCCCTCATAAAGCCCTGCATCACCGTGGTGCCCTAAAAGCCCCAATTAAGCCCCAGACCCGAAACCTTCAGAAGCAAGGGCCATGGCACTTTAGACGAAATCTAAGCCCTGAACCCTACAACCTCACGGCAAAGGTGGCCCATGAGGTTCACTTCTGCGAGACGATGGGCCAAAATCTGGCACCTGGAGCAGAGGCTCATGGAAACGAAGAACCTGCTTAGTATGGGTTATTCAAGGGGTTGTAGTTGGGGGTTTGGGGCTTAGGGTCGCGTTTTAGGATATGAGGTTCAGCACGGGTTCCATTGGTCCAGGGCTGCTTCTAGAATAAGCTGTTTCTTTTGGGGGTCGTATAAGGGTCTTCTTGACGCAATGCCATGTGCGAGCTGTTGAGCATGGGACGTGGTTGAGACTGTGCCTTCAGTGTCGTTTGTCTTGGCGCTACCCAAACCCTAAACCCAGAACCTCAGACCGTGCCGTCTAGCAGCCTACAATTCCTGCAAGGGAGTCCCTCAGGCCTTGTAACAAATCAGCGTCGCGCCATGTCGGGAAGCAGAGCCCGAGTAAGAAGCATGCACTGAACCCTGAGCCCGAAACTTCAGTCCAAACCCCTAAACTTGAGAAGTTGCGAAACCCCAGGCCCTACCCTCTTGCAGCCCTGACAGAAACGCTGTTTTGACAACCTCTCTCCGGAATCTGTCAGAGGTGAACTTTGCGCTGCAGATGCTGCCTGACGGAAGTGTCCAGGTGCTCGTGGTATTAAGGCTTAGAGATTCCCTGAACCCCAAAAGTATGTCGAATAATAGCCTTGTAGAGGTTTTGGGCCATTATTTTAGATACTTTGGGGGGTCTAGGTCAGGGGATAAAAGCTTAAGGCATCCGATGCAAGGGCTAGGGTGTCCGTTTGATGTTTTGTTGTTCTGTCCATGTTTTCGCTTCTACCGAATTGCAAGTACAACACTTTGATATACCCCCAGGCCCCCTATATCGGATGTTTTGTCCCGACTTTAGAAACTCGGGTCTAAACTTGGTTGTTCGTCCCATGAAATGGGGCTTCGGGGATACTTGTAGGCACACCGAAGCTTCGGGAATGCGAGGTTCAGAACTGTCTTCAGACTTCCCATCGCTTTCATCATCGTGTTCTTCATCATGGTCACCATCATGAACATCATTGGTTCTTTCTCACTATCATCATCATCGTCATCAACATCATCATCATCATCATCATCGTCCCTGTGTTCGCGCCTGCATCACCATAGAAGTTGTGCAGCAACCGTAAAAGCAAACTATAAGACACCGCCAGAATCGGCAACGGCAGGAGAAGCACCACTGCGACCACCGCAAAAGCACCAGCAGCACAACCAGCACCAGCACTGACCAGCACCATCAGCAGGGTCTGGGGTTCTGGTTCTGGTTTGGGATTCGGCATCCAGAGTTCATGTTGCAGGTCCGAAGCGGACCGAAGCCCGTTATCACAGGTGGCAAAGATCGAATATCCGTTGGATACCAATCGGATGGACAAGCGCAGTGTGAAGTTCCACCTTGCTGTGACACGTTGGCAGGGAACGGATGTCGTAGCTGGTCCTCCGGCACCGTCGGAAACCCAGTATTTCTTTGTTGTCGGGGTCCGGGGTTCGTAGTGTTCGGAGGACGGAACGTGATTGCCGATGTAGTTGCTGGCGATGACCTTGACAACGATAACCGCGAGGCTATTGATGCCAATAATCTGCATGGACAGTGTTTGTGAAAACAATGCTGCTAATGATGATGCTGCTGGTGGTGGTGGTGGTGGTGGGGGTGACTCTGGCTGTGGCATGGCTGCGGTTCTTGCGGTGGTGATGCTGGTGTGGGCGATTTCAGAACCGCCACCACCGTCATCAGCGCCCCGCTGCAAAAGGATCCCGAATTTGTGTTGTCGTACGTAGACAATTTGGCCTGGTCTTTCAGCAATGCTGACACGTGTCCCTTATCGTCCAAGCATAAAATTCGACATCGCACTAACATGCCGCAGATTTACCGTCAGAGACGCAGCCTTCGGTGATTCCAGGGGTTGTCGCACCACAGGAAGGATTGAAGCTTCACACCTTGCAGATAGGTTATCCCCCCAGACCCCCAGCCAGACGGCTTCACAGCAAAGGCGTTTGGAAAAACGGAAACCTGGACCGAATCTCACAATGTCCGCTATTTGAGACCCTAAACCTCAGCCCTAAATCTTAAGCGTAAGCCCCTAGCTTGAGACAAGGTCGCTGGGAAACGGCCTTGTCTCGGGAACGCAAACAGCCGGCCTTGCCGTGGGCCTCAGACGATTTCGGATACTTAGAGGATCATGGGACTTAGTAAGTAGATTATAACTGGGGTTATAAGTCCCCTAAGTGGGGCTATCCTAGTTATAACCTACTTATAACCCTACTTACCAAGTCCCATGATCCTTTAAGTACCAAAGCTTTCAGATTTCGGGCGCCCTCGAGTCCTGTTCGGCTTTGCTTTGCCTGTCGGGCATCGAGGGCTTCATTGCAGGTTAGGGCCTTCAGAGTTTTTCGGTTCGGGATTCCGATGCTCAAGATTCCACATGAGCAAGCAAGAGCTTGAGCTTGTGATGAAACCCCCTGCAATTTCAAGCCGGAGCGGTGATTTAATATACAGAGACTCCTAACTAAATCCTGAAACGGTAACCTAAGCCCTAAACCCTAAGCACCAGGTGAAGAACTATAACGACCTTCGCGGCTTCGGCTTCATCAGCATCCCCGGCGGGAGCCAGGACGCCTTCGAAAGAGACGGCATTTTGATACAGAGCTGTTTGGTTTAGGGTTTGGGGTTAAATGTTAGACGGTTTCAGTTTGGCCCGGGGGGGTTAAGGTTAGAGCTGTAGCCCCTTGTAGAGCAAGGTCTGGCTTGGCTTAGCAGGTTTATCCCGTGGGTTTGCAAAAGAGGTTCCCTTAGCAATGCAGCCACCCACTTGGTAGTGCAGCCAGGTGATTCTTGCACAACGCGTTTGCTCAGAAACACCAGCCCTGCTAGAATGAAGGCATGACAGTATAAAATGCCTCTACCGTGACATGTGGCAGCATTCTACCCCTAGAAAGCGCAGGTTCTTTTCTGACGCCCGTTTGATGTGCACACCTTTAGGGCGGGTGTTTGTTCCCCTGGAGGGATAGAGTTCAAGCCGCGAAGGGTTGCTATCAGGGTTCCTAAATGGCACGCTAGCTCTCGCTTAGGGCACCTCTGCTTGCAGAACTTCTACGGCTGCTTTAACTGGAGATCTCCCAGAGTGCTTTGCACTTCTTTCGGGCTATCTACAGTAGAAGCCAAAAAGTTGGAAACCCAATAGCCAATAGCCTCAATCCTTAAGAGTAATGCAAAGGGAATCCCAGCACTATTTGGCTTTAATCCGGTTTCCAACTTTATGGGGATTTACTGTAGGGGATAGCCGGACAAGCGGCACCCTTTTTGAAGAGGAAGCCTAAAGAACCAGAGCCCCCACATAGCCCCCAAAACCTTAACCGCGAACCAGAGAAACAAAGAGCCTTAAACCCCTAAAGAGCTCTATATGTTAGGGACCCAAAGAACACATAAGCATAAGCATTTTATGGTGATATCTCACCTTATTGGGCTTCAGTATAAGGGGATTTATATGGGATATCCCTATCCTAATTTTTGCTGATGTGCTTTTTTGGGGCCCTAATATGGACCCCCAGAAAGGGAATCCCAGAGCCTGGCTGTCCCATGACTTTGACCCTGAGGATGTCTACTTCCAGCCGGGCACCCTTTGGGGTTTAGGGTTTAGGGTTTTTGCTTTCGGACTTAGGGTTCAGGTTACTCAGGGAGTCAACATCCTCACCGGACGATCAATGTAATGTTGTTCTGCACCTACAACAAGCGAATATAGGTAGCAGGCAACACAACTTTAAATACATCAATTGGTGCCCTTCCAGAAACTCTACCCTAAACCCGAAACCCCCCCATGGCCCCTTAAACCCTAAATCGTGCGGCCTCCTACAGGTCAAGGCTTGAGCAAACTCAGACGTTTAATTCTTGGACCGACCATGCAGCGTCTGGGGGTAGGTAGGAAGGAGAGGCCCTGAATACTAAAGTGCCTGCGAAGCCTTTTGGATTGCTACAAAAATCAAGTCCCGCATAACTCCTGACAGTTAAAACAGATGATCTCCAAAAACTAGTCACTATATATAGACCAAAGCGAAGTACGAGTTTCCATGGTGTTTGCGCCCAGGCGAAGAGACATAAACCCTCAACCCTAAACCTCAAACCCGCCCAAGGCGAAGAGACATGGACGATGCCTCTCAAACTCTGCGAGGAGCTTGGTCCAATGCCTTCAAACCCGAAACGAGCCCCTGTCTCCAATAATTACCTGGGAGTTTCCGCAAATTAGGGATATCCTATCTAGGGTCCTTGTAATAAGGATCCTACTATTTCGGGTGCCATAATTAGCGTCCACCCCAAGTCCGAAAGGGCCTGAGAGCTGCTTAGAGGTTTAGTGTTGATAGAACTAGCGCGGCAAGATGCTTGTTTGCACCTTTGCGGAAGCTCGAGGTTTTGGTTTCGAAGTTTACCTATAGTCTCCATTGTAGTTGAGTTTTGGGGTTACCTTATCGGAACCCACTTATATAATTGGTTAAACTGAAAAAGGAACTACAATAGAGACTATAGGTATAATTCTTGGAGTTTGGAGTGTCAGTCAGGACAGTCCCTAAACCGGGGCAGGCACTGGGCCTGCTTGTGTTCCTTGCGCACACAGACGAGCACTGCGGTTATCGGGTTCTACAGATAGAGTTTGTCCGAACATCTCCAGCCTGCGGCTTCGTTTCAGGGTTTCTGCTGCTTTACAGGGAACTCCAGAAAGTTGGAATATGGTTTCGGTTTCAGGGTAGGATACCCTATAATTTACCATAAAGGGTTTAGGATAAGCATAGTCCAACTTTCTGGCTTTTACTTTAAAGTTCAGGAACGACGAAGCTTCTGGAAACCTCTGTGTTCGTTCCACAGCTTCCGAGCCGCAGCACCGACATGTCCTAAAGTCCTGAAGCGCTGAGGGTGATTTAGAGCGTAGGGGTTAAGGCGGTTAAGGATTTCGAGGCCAGGTTATATTGTAGGGTTAGATGCATTTGGAAGTTAGAGGTTGAACATGTAGCTCTTTGGTAGTCTTATGAAGCAAGGGTGTAGGACATAGAAATTGGGGAAACATAGGTCCATTCACTCTACGCCTGCTTCTGGAGAAATGAACCGTTCAGGGTTGAGCTTGAACGCAAGACCCCAGAAATCCATAGCAGTACTGCTACACTCTGCACAAATCTAAGTAGCCTAAGCCTTCCATGCTTCCTAGTCTGCCTCAGGGTACGGGCCCTGTCCCTGTTTTGCTTGTTAGGCTCTTGCACCTCTCATTCGAAGTCGTGTAACATGCTAAACACTGAACAACTCCGGACCGCAAACCCGGAACCCTAAAGTACGCCCGTATAGGAGGCCAAAAGGGGTTTTAGCCTGTGGGGGTTTAGTAGGGATTCCGGTTCCCATACTAGGGTTCATATCAAGGAATCCCTACCCCAAGAATCTTAAACCCCCCCCTTTTGGCCTCTCATCAAAAAACGGCTTCGTCCCAAGGTTGACCTGGGTCGGAGGCCGCAGGCTCAGGAGGGTCTCGGGGTTGTGGCTTTTGTCGGGGCCTCGTGGGGTTTGGATGTCTGGGCAAGATTTAGGACTCAGGGCAAGGGTACTAGAAGGGTTGTATGAAGTGATATAGCGTTTGTGGTTTTGGGTTTAGGGTCAGGTGTAGGGTTTACGATTTAGCTAGTGTGTCGGGTTCAGGTGTAGGGTGGAGCATTGAGGGTTTTGGACTGTACTCTATTTTTCAGCTTGCCGCTGCCCATCTTTCGTATAGCAAGGCAACAAACCCCAGACGCCCTGTTCGAACACCGTAGGGGCCACCCCTCACTCTTAAACCTAGTAGTCTAGTACAGTAGGTAACCTTTAACCTCTTTTGGGTAGTATAGCCCCTATATAATCCCTATATAACCAAAAAGGTTAACCTTTAGTTCCCCATGATACCCGACAAGTAGGTAAACGTTTTGCAGCGCTGTGCAGAGGTTTCATCATTTTTCATAGAGCTAATGGGGCCGTTGAGGAGATCGACAACTTTGCAGCCAGGGTCCTTCCTGATGCTCTTCATGGTTGTAGCATCCACCTTAACCCCAAGTAACCTACCTTTTTAAGGACTTATATAAAGAAATCACATTAGGGAACCCTAAAAAGGTAGGTTCCTTAGGGTCCAGGTAGGTCTTAACCCGTGAGCAGACTCTTCAGGTTCAAGCTATCTACAAAACGTCTAAGGACTAGCACAAGGAACTCATAGCAGAGAACGGGTTCAGGTATACGATAGGGACCTAAATACATTCCTAGACCATGGGGGGGGTCCTTATTATTTATAGTCATAGTTTAATGAGCCCCAAGAACCCTATTCTGATTGAAATGAGGGCCCCTACATTGACTGGGACTTGAATATTTTTTGGGGACCTGTTAGTTAAAGGGAGCCATTATGTAATAAAAGTCTATACTTTTGTCTCCCCGGTTACTTCAAAGCCCAATATACTAGGATGCCCAGTAGTACCCTTATTCCCTTTTTGTAGTCCTAGGCCCCTTATAAAGTTACCCAATATCAAAAATCGTACTTGAACCCCTAAACCCTAAACCCCTAAACCCCTAAATCCTAAACCCTAAGCCCAGTAAAGCACCTCCGTAAGCCGAGCAAGGTCAAGGCCTCACCGGCTGCACCGCCAACCTTCGCTTGGAGGCATCCTCTTGCCAAGTTATATAGGGGTTGGATACTGCCCCCACTCAGTAACAGTTGGATACTATTCACAATACAGATATATTAGGCCCTTAATAGTAGCCCTATTATAGACTGTTAGTGTATGGGGGCAGTATCCAATATAGGGGCCTTAATAATTAGACTACGTTTTTTGGGGCCAAGAGACGAAAACGATAGTAGAGGTATTTATGTAGGCTCCTATGGTAATGTTTTGGGGCCCATTATACTATAATGATAGTACAATATTTATATAGGCTCCTATAGTAATCTGTCGCTTTCAGGTGCAAGGTGCGGCGTGTCTTTCCTCGTTTGCGGGAGGTTTAACTCCACGCGGGTGGTTGTCAAAATTAGGGTCCCCTTTTCGGTCGCTACTATAATACGGCACCTAATATTTAGGGTACCCTACTTGGAGGGGCAGGGGACTCAGTAAGTCGTTTATACGTAGGGTTATAATTGGGGGGTAACTCCATTTAGGGTACTTATAACTCTGCTGATAACCTACTTACTAAGTCCCCTGCCCCTCCAAGAAAAAGGGACCATAGTCTTGACAGCTGCCCATGCAGTATTGATTCAGCTAAGAGGTCGCAGGGTCTTAGTCGCCACATGATGTTCCTGAGACTCTGCACGCTACCTACCGATGGTCTCCATTGCAGTACCTTTTTTTGGTTTAACCAAGTATATAATTAGGATCCTAGAAGGTAACCCCAAAACGGAACTACAATGGCGACTATAGGTAGTTTTGCATGGTGATGTTGCCTGAAACCCCAAACTGAAGCCTCCAGTGCTTGGGCAGAGAGTTTTGTCACGGCCAGGGCTGTTTCGCTCAGCTTCCTTCAGCATCGTGTTTGAAGCTGGTTGCTTCCCTGGTTATTTGTTGTTGTTGTTGCTGTTTGCGTCTACCCCACCGGTTTGCTTTTGACTGATAACTGATGTTTGTGCGTTGTTGTTCTTTGCTATTCGTGTTGCCAATGTGCGAATTTGCACAAATCGGCCGAGCCACACCTTTTGACAAGAACCTGTGCGGCCCCCCTAAACCCTAAACCCTAAACCCTAAACCGACAGCATATGCGGGGTTCAGATTGAAGTTTGTAGCTGACTGATGTAGCAGCCTCGCTGTTGGATGCCACAGCTTCTGGTAGATCCTGTTAGGAGACGTGTTTTGGGGTTTAGGGCGGTCCTTAGTCTAATCGTCGTGATGATTATGAGGTGTTGTTATTAACGTTTTTTGACTTGAGTTATGGTATATGGACAACTGGAATGCGATATCTAGGTCCTAGGCCTTAATAATTAAACCTGGGAGTTAGGATTAGGGGGACCCTTGGGGATATAGACCCTCTCAATAAGGCCCCTTGTAAGAGAGCCAGAAGTAAGGTTCAGAAGGGGTACCCTTTAAGGGGTCTCCCTAATAATACTACCTAAAACCTGAAGCAGGCCCTGTCAGACGGGAGATGGCATGCTCGCAGCATTACGCTCTCCGAAGACGGGGCCTTGGCTGCTGGGGTTCCGGTTTGAGGTGCTCTAACCGAAGGCGTGTAGATAGAAAGGTTGCGTCTTGGTTTGGTTTTGAAACATGAGTGGTTGTCAAGACTATGATCCCGTTTTGGGTACCCTAAGTATTAGGTGCCGTACTAGTACTATATTAGGGACCCAAAAGGGACCATAATTTTGACAACCACCCATATGTGTGCAAGAGTGCGGTTTGCAGGTGTTTTTTTCGGTGAGTTACTTAAAGGATCATGGGACTTAGTAAGTAGGTTATAAGTAGGAATTATAATTAGGATAACCCCACTCAGGGGACTTATAACCCCAGTTATAACCTACTTACTGGGTCCCATGATCCTCTGAGTAAGTTGAAGGGGTTCGGTATGTACGGCTTTTGTCGGGCTGAAGGGGCGGAGGGTTTGGAGTTTCACAGGGTTTCGGGGTCGAGGGTTCTGTTCAGCGTTTGGTGTCAGGGCAATATAGTAGAAGCCAGAAAGTTGGAGCATCATTATCCTCATGGCCCAAAGGGTGAAGTACAGTAGATCCTAGCACTAGTCCTCCTAAATGTTCCAACTTTCTGGGGTCCACTGTAGGTAAGGGGTGTAGGAAATCCAGCGCCCCATCGGTTTATGGCTTACGGGCCTGATGGGTTTATGGCCCTAAGACTTATGGTAGTTTGTCCAGAACCGAGGCTTCTCAAGATTTGGGGTAAAGAACCTGCTCCGAAAAGCCGTGAGCATTTTGAGGCTTGGGCTCATGATACCGGAGACCTCGCCGCCAAAACCTCGAAACTCGCCAACCGATAATTACCTATACCATTTTTGGGTTCCGTGCTAGACTTATGCAGTAAATTGGCCCCAAAACCCTATTCTACTGATTGAGGCCCCTACAGTAGGCCATTCTATAAACTTCATCATGAGTTTCACAAGAAAGTATGTGAACAAGGACCCTAACATTGACGCCAGCGATTACAAGCCCTAAGCCCCGAGCCCACGTCCGAATTGCCACCAGGAATATTACAGTTGGGAGGCGGGAGTGGGAGGTGGTGGGACGTGGGAGATGGGAGATGGTGGGAATTGGGAGGGGGAGAGGGGTGAAGGAACGTTCGGTTTGGTGCGGTCCCAGATGTTGCGGTTCGGTTCGATACGATACTCGGTGAAACTACAGTTGAAACGCGATGAGGAATGCCATAGTACCGCGTCGGAAGAATCAGCAACTCTATTCCCTTTCTATAATGTTCCAGACCCCATCAGGCCCCAATGATAGACGAGCTGCCCAGGCCGGATTGAACCTCTGGGACGGCGCTGCACTCGCGGGCGTCGTGAAGGCTTATTTCCCGGCCAAGGCCAGGAGATACCGGAACATGCGGATACATACCTTGTTGAGGGGCCCTTACAACGACTGAAAGGGCCCTTCTGGCAAGTATCCTATTTAATAGTCCTATTTTTTAGCATGTGGCACTCTATGCTTGTGTTTGTGTTTTTCAATATACTGTAGACTCTGTAGATATTTGAGTACAATCATACGGCTACATGTGTTTCGTTTTAAAGTTGTATCATAGCGGCCAAGAACACGAAGGAGTGAGTGATGAAAAGGGAGTAGATCCACCAAGGAGGAAGACCGGGAATGGCAAGCATGATCAAACGCCGCACTTGCAATTGCAGCAGCAGCAATGCAATCGGCAGTCGTGCGACCAGTAGCAATTAAATTAGTGACGAGCTCATATCATTCGTGGTAAAATCATACAGAAAAGAAGAAGAAGTACACATACGATTGGGTTAGCAACCAGGACGGCGATAATAGAGACGGCAAAGTTCCTTATGGCAACCATGATGAATGGTGCAACCTCCTCGTTACACAATCTATGAACGATGGCTGCGCTTTCCGGGGTATAGGCCGGCAGGGGACTAACACCGTACCTTGCTTGCTACACTCCCAGAAACTCCAACAGCTAGTAAGTAGGACCTACTACTACATACATAATACGAATATGAAGGTTAATACGAGCAATAAAACCAATGATGTCTAATACTATGTTAAAGCTACTACTAACAGTGATACCAATACCGTACGAATATCGACATTCATACTATTGAATTAAGTTAATACTAATGAAGAAAGTCATTTCTAATATTGGTAGCAATACGAATAAAGGAAGCTAGTTAGTAGCCAGTACCGATATGATCAGTAACACAAAATGATAAAGTCAATATGCAATTGAGTACTATCTTGTACGTTACTTTTCACAACTGGATTCTAAGATACCGTGAAGCCTAAAGTTCAGGGTTGCAGGTTTAGAGCTTTAAGGTTTTTGGGGCTTAGGGTTTTTGTGATTTGGGTTTAGGATTGTCTTCGTCAGAGGCCTTCGGCTTCCTCAACGTGCCAGCCTCTCAGGCCGGGTTAAGCAAGCCGCTAGGTTTGGGGTTTGGGGGTTATAGGATTTGTAAGATTTTAGGGTTTTCAGCGGGTTTAGGGTAGGGCTTTCGGGTTTTCAGGGCTTAGGGTTGAGGGTTCGGGACTATGAGGGGTAAAGCCTCTATTCTAAGCCACGCGGCGGTGCAGATTTCGCAAGAGCTTGTCTCCCGACGGCCGAAAACTTCGAGCTTCGACGCAAGGGTCTTTCCTACCCCGAGGCTCGAAACTTGTGTATGGGACTCCCACCAGAACCACAAATGTATTTTTTCCATCCTTCGGGGTGCCAACTAGCTGAAACCACCGCCTTCCGAGGAGTTTTATGACGACAGGAGGAGGGGCAATCAATTATACACCCTACGGTTGATGATATAGATCCTGCATTACCCAGAAGAAGGAATACACCATAATTCCCATAGTTTAGGGTCCTTAAGGTAATGCAGGGTTTATATCATCAACCGTAGGGATCAAAATCCAAACGCGATGTATAGTATGGTCTTTGGGCCCCTAGGGACTCTAGAGGCTTGAGTAGCGGGTAATAGTGCCCCCTTCCTGTTCCGTATAGAATCATTGCGCTACAAAGTTATCCCCAAACCAGAGCTGCAATGTAGAGCACCGAATAGTGCCGGAACCCCTCTTATCAGCAAGGGCCTTCAATCAATTACGCAGCATCCCTCTCAGACCCATCAAAGGCTTTCGGTGGGGGGGTGGGGTTGTTAATCAGGAGCGACGCTCGAACTTTTCATTAGACTGGATCGCCTCCCGGGCCCCCGCTTTCGAGTGCTCGTTCGGTTACATCGCGCTTAAATTGTACACGAGCGTGAAGCCGCAGTCCGTGCTACGTCAGAAAATCCAAAACCATTTAGAAGTGCTTCTGGTATTTACAACTACCTTCACCTACCAGAGCCTGCTTTTTGCAGGATCTGATTAGTAACCCGGGCAGAGAGTATATGGGGACGCTGCAGGAAGGTAGGTTGTGGTAGTAAGAGGTAGGATAAGCTGAATGGATCGTCTCCGCAGTCATCGGCAACCCTTCTGATGATACTGACTAGCAAGATTTAAAATCAGATCTTTAACATGCCAATATTAACCCCAGTAGTGATGCCCATAGTCGGCCCAATTACCAACCGTGACTACGAAAACCTCCAAGCCCCAGCCCCAGCCCCTGCATGGCTGCTTTACGGGGCTGTAGGCTGAGGGCTTGCGCCCTGATTCTGATTCTTATAAGCCCTAGAATCCTAAACTCCGGAATCCCTAATCCCACACCCGAAATCACCCCTACACCTAAAGCCTAACCAGGGTTCCTTATTATCATTTCTTTGTATAAGCCCTTAAAAAGGTAGGTTCCTTCAGGGTTAAGGTAAACTCTACACCCTAAGCCCTAACCCTAAACGCTAAAACCCTAACCCTAAACCCTAATAGGCCCTATAAACTCTATACACCCTAAGCAGGCTATCGACTTCCTCTTCCAAGGGGCTGACCTCGCATCGGACTTGGCGAACAGGCTGCAACAGGCAAGAAAGGGTCGCTATGGGGGGCTAAGAACTCAGGGTAGGGTCGGGTCGGGTAGGGGGGGTAGGGTAGGGTAGGGTATAGTAGGGTATAGTAGGGTATGGGGGGCCTGCATAATGTCCCCCAATTACCTATGCTATTTGGGGGGGGGGGGGTGCCTTACTATAACTATGGTACCATGGAGGCCTGAGTACCTTAGGAGCCTTAAGAATTACCCTGCAATTGCTATTGTGGCGGGTTCCTTCATAGAATTATGGTATTCGGGGCCCCAAAACCCTATTCTAATTAGGAATGCCCCTATATTGAATACTTAGAATAGGGTCCCGCTAAGGGTCCCGTAAAAGCTTCTATCAATGATACGGGTTACTATCAGCATTCTAGCACAATTGCATGACGAAATTTGCAACCCTAGCGACTCGAATATGCCTTTGGGGTACATGTACAAACGGACTATAAGGGGGATGTGATTGAGAATGATTCTCATTGCTGTAGATCATCAAGAGTAATTTACTCAGCATTAGCCAGCTTGTCCTAGAACGCAAAGCATCAAACTCCAAACCTGCATGCTTGCCGCAATGCTTGCCTGGTTTCAGATAGTCGGGGATCCTGCATGTAGGACCCAAATACTGCAACAGGCAGACCTTTTCACCAGAGAGTGCTACTAGTGTTGCTTGGGATTGTGAGAGTTTGCCCATGTAAGGCTTGCGGGGCCGAGGGCTCATATGGGTGGTTGTCGAATTTATGGTCCGTTTTGGGGTTCCCTATTATAATGCGGCACCTGATATTTTTAGGGTACCCCAAAAAGGGACCCTAATTTTGACAACCACCCATATGATTGAAAGGGTTTAGGGTTCGGAGCCGAAAGGCACCAGGGTTGATGATAAAAATCCTGCATTACTTTAAGGACGCTAGATTGTGGGCATGATGGTATATTCCTTATTTAAGGGTAATGCAGGGTTTATACCATCAACCGTAGGACTTCAAACCTTAAGGCACCGTCTTCAGACCTAAAGAACCCACAGACCCCAAGGCATTGCAACTTGCAGCTCCTCTGAGCAACACCACCCTAAGAACCCGAATTATAGGACCCTGATGCTAGCCCTTAGAATCCTTGTAGCACCCTGATACACCCCTGAAAGCTCGAAAGGCCTGAACTCCAAACTCTCGCAATGTCACCCTGAGCCCTGAAACGCAAAATGACCAGAAACCCCTCACCCCAAGACCTTAAACTCAAGACCCCTCATGTAGGGGCCGTAATAATTCGAACAGGGTTTGGGGGTATATTCTACTGTAGTCGAAACCAAGGAACCCCCAACACCCATTTCATTTATGAAGCCTCCTACCTTTGTCCTTAAAACGCCCGAGAGCAGGCGGGCCCAAGTGGCTTGCAGGGCACGCTTTGCTGGTTCCGCCTGCGAGCTCAACCTGACGGCCGATGGCAAGCCAAGGAGGTGGAAGGGTTTAGGGTTTAGCGGGGTGCACCCTGTAATAGTGACTGTAATGATTATATTAGGGCCCTATTATATTCCTATTATTCCACTATTACAGGGTGGGGGCAGGGTGTCCTTCAAGGGCTAGGGTTTAGGGTTTAGGTGTTCTTTAGGGGTGTAGGGTTTCCAGGGTTCGTTTGAAAGGTTTCCTCAAGGGTTCCTTTGAGAGCTCCATTAATTCCTTCAAGGGCTCATTTAAGGTGTTCTGAGTTCTTGTAAAGGGTTCATGGGAACGGGTGATTTAAAGAGTTTCCTTAAGGGTTCTATGGCTTGCTAAGTCACTGCAAGGGTTGCACAAGGGTTCTTGATCTAGGGGAACTGATCATTCGACCAGGGCTCCTTTAAAGAGTTCGACGAGGGTTACTAGAGGGGTTCTGTAATATAGGAGCCTTACCATTAGCAGTTTAGCATAGGGTTTTGCCGTGTATTGAGGGTTTAGTGGTTCGGGTTAGAGGCGTCCCTCCGACCGGGATTTGGGGTATTTTGAAGCGACATTGACGCTAGTCACTAGGGAGTCTTTTGTTCCGGGGTCCTTTATGTGAAGGATCCGTTTGCTTGCATCTATCGTATGGCTTCCGAAATTGGAGGTTTTGAGGTTAAGGGCCTACTCAACTTTTTTCGAGTTTCACGATTTAAGCTATGTGGTTTAGATCCACGGTCTTGGTCGTTTAGAAGGCCATGACATGCAATGAACTTGCCAAGGCAGACTCCCGGAGACTGGTGTACTTTTGCCGATTTAACGGTTTCGGGTCCCGTGCTGAATTTCAGGATCACCGCCCCCACTCCCGTCGATGCCAAGACTTCCCAGGTTTGCCTGTCCGGCGATGGAAAGATGGTCGGGGGCGCGGAGGCATGTCGACTAGAAGAGCGATCCCGGGTGCAGGGTTTAAGTATGATTTCCTGGAGTGAGGGCTTTTCCCTCAACCCCTAAACCCTAAACCCTTACGTAAGCCCTAAACCCCGAAACCACTAAGCTAGATTATTTCGGAGT